AAAGAAGGGCCTTTCACTTCTAAGCCGTTGCCGTCGTTGTTATAGTCTTTTTCCTTTTAGTCGTCTTTTTTAAGGGTTTCGTTTCATTGACTGCGAAAAAAAAAGAGATCGAGATTCATCTGTGTTCTGTTTACCTTGACGGGGAATCGAGTGGGTGGAGGACATGGAGCAAGCGACAAAACGGTATTAAGTGAGCCGGTGGTAATGGCACTAGACAACGATGACACTAGCACAGGTCAAGCACAGCCAGAAGGCTGAGTGCAGGATCAGGTCATTTATTATCAATAGCAGCAGCATGTCAGCTCAACTGTCCTCTCGATAACGAGGGCCTCTTAGGTAAGACGGGGCAAACGTTTAAGGGGCAATAGGGAGGAGGGTAAAGTGGGACCTCCCCGACTGCATAACTGCTGTTGCTGCCATGAGCGGCCGATAACGGACATCAAACTACGTAGGACAAGACAAAAGCATCGCGTGACCACTAGATGCAAACGAGTTGCATGTTGCCACTGCTAGTCATATCGTCAAAAATCAGCGATAACGCTTATAACTGAGCTCAAGCCACGGTAGTTCATACAGTAGCGCACGAGGTTGACAGAATCAGGGGAAAAGTAGTAAGTTGCGCGTAAATAGCTTGTGTCTATGAGGCAATGTATAGTTCCCATCATGGAACTTTTTCTTCCGTCTGTATAAAATTCCCAACGCGTAACCATCATCCCTTGACTTATTGATTCAGTTATTAATGGTGGCTTAACTAGCTGTTGTCCTTTTGCTACCAATTGTCTAGATCGGCATAACCTTAACCAGATATTATTACAAGAATAATATCCAGCTGATAATACCTAGGATGTATGTTCATTCTATATGCAGCGATAACGCATACATTGCAAACACAGAGAGAGAACTCCGCTACACTGCCTTGCCCGAATCGCTAAAACCAATTCGCTAGGGCTCATAGTTTCTGGAACTTCGTCAGTATTCTACGTAGGATACGCGCTCGACGGTTCCACGGTGGCATTTCCTCACATGGGTGACTCGCGAACTCAAGCGAGAACGAGATGTCGCACGACTATCAGAACAAAAACGAATCAACAAGAAGTTGTTATAGGTTCTCTCGAATAAGATAGATTACTTAATATTTTATTTCGGTACCTCGTTCTCGTCCTCTAATTCGCATGTACGTATACCTGAAGTACACACGCCAACCGGTAATGCTATCTGCCGGAGTGCTACTAACTAATCTTTTAAGAGCAACGGTTCCAACGGTTTTCCAGGGCCTGCTGTTGTTCTTTACTTCTCGGTCTTAATATACGTTCGCCTTATGTCAACGCCTCTAATTTTTTTCATGAGATTGATTCATTGAAATGAGACCACAACTGATACCGGCTTTGACTAGCACCTGGTCGTGATGATCAGCACCAGTAGCTAACGGGGTCGACAAATGCCCCAAGTCAATGATTTCGACCACCATGCTCTATATCTCGTTCGCTGTGTTCACCGTATTTTTTGCTCACCCAATTTTCTAAGCAATTTAACAAGGGCTGACAGTGAATCATCTTGCGTTCCTTCTGCCGTCTGTTGGCCAGTCTCGAAAAACGAGGTGAATCAACCGAAGATTTTTCGGAGTTTTCGGTTCTACGATATGCAATAGCTTAAGCGACGATCTCTTGCGCTGCCATTGCTCTCCTTCTTTTTCACTCAGCCAATGATAATCGTAATCGTTCCTTTTTAGCTTTAGTTGGTCTGGATCAGTGTACGCCAATCGCCTCCTTCTTTCCTTCAGGCACTTTCTTTCGAGGAAAGTAAGCACAAGCGGTTGTGTCATGCGGCTATATCTGGCCGCGAGTCCAACGCGAAACATACCAGCCCGGTGAGCCGCGTCGAGCCCAGAGCAACCCGGACAAACCCGACCTTTCGTTCTCTGCTTCTTCAATTCGATGTTGATGCAGTTCCGTTCCATCGCTGAACGGATGACGATGGAGCGATCCAACGGAACCAGCCAACGACGAGTCAACGACAAACAGCGGTTCGCTAGCCGGCTGTTCTCTGCTTGCCAAAGCAGCAGCACTGGTAGTAGTGATGGCGACAGTCGTTGGAAGTGCAGTCGGACCGCGGCGTAACGCGGAGCACAGCCACGCAGTGCCGTTCGGAAACTCTATGAGCAGCGGATATGGATGCTGTCGTGTTTTTCGTTGTTGTCGTCAGATGGCGACGTCCAGAAATGGCGAAAACGAAGAAAAACGCCGTCACCGACGAGAACGGCCAAGACGCGGATGCTCGTTATGGTGATGCAGGTGACGCGGCGGTGGGCCGCGATTAGCCGTCGGATCACGGAGGAGCTATGGCTCTATCCGGGGCATTCGAGCTCGATCGTTGGAAAGCGGTCGGATTAGCTGTCGTTTGCGCAGGACTATTCAACGTTACGTACCGTCGTTAGCCACGCCATTAGGTCTCGATATTTAGAGATTGATAGCGGGCAAAGGGTTATTGAGTAAAACGACAGAATGTCATATAAGGGAACTCAACATATCGTTATGAGGTGAGCAACGTGGAGGTGCGCCACAGGCTTACGGTCATCGGTGCCACTGGCATTGCTACCGCTGCCACTAATCGCTCGGGTCGTAACGTTTTCTCGAACAACATGGGCCAGACGATGGTATAGGCCGCTAATGCAGCAAAGGTGATGACGATGATGACGACAATAACAGCATCGAAATCGACGCTGCCAAGAGAAACCTTTAGATACGAATGTGAAGTACGAAGCATTAACATCAGCAGCAATAGGTGTTGTTGGTCCTGGATGTCCGCGGTACTCCTGCTGATGTCGATGGAGATGGCCATGTTGATGCTACTAGTGGTAGTAGTGGCATGCCAAGGAGTGATCGACTGATCGAGCTGTTTGAGCAGGCAATGGCAGTGAAGGGATCAGCGCAGACGGCGTCGCGCCGAGACGATTCGTTCTTCAGTCGCACAAATGCTCGCTCGTCGACATAGCGACCAACCAACCATCAACGGAGGCCCCCGGGGGGTACGAGTAGCAGCGTGTACGACAGGCAGGACGGACAGGCCAGATCAGAACATAGGAACAACAGATAGGACGGAGCCATCCATCGATCGCCGCTCGTCTTCAGGTTGTCCTCGTCATTGTCACCTTTGCGCTTAGATGGACTCGACTTGACCTGATGTATAAGAAGTGAGGTCCTCCTGGCTGGACTGACAAAATCGTTCATTGCTCCTTGGATTGTTCAGTATGTTTCGTACGACACTAGAAGGGTAACGTAAAGCAGGAAATTGCGAGCACAAGTGGAGAGACCAGGTCGATAATGACAACCGACAATGGCGAGAAGAAACAGCAGGCTTATAGCGATCTGTTAGTGGCAGCATTGCTAACGGAAAGTTCGCCACCGAATCATCAGCCGATGCCATCTGAAACCCATAGCCTAAAGGCGGCAGAGACAACGGCTGCTATAGCAATAAGCACTAACAATCTGAGGTTCACAGCGAGCAACAATAACAGCAATAACCAAAATGACAAGCAAAAGGTAGAACACTGCCTGGGGCACCAGGGCGTTCTCGAGGAACACGTTTCGTGTCCTGAGCGTTCTACGACAGTAGCGCGTACCACACACGGCCGCTCATGATGATTAGAGACGAAAAGAAATCGCATGCTTTGCGTCGAACAGACGAAAAGAACGAAAGAAAGTTGTAAAACCCCAGAACTTAAATCTCTTGTGGTCGGCTCACTGATGAACCGTAGAACATACCACCCCTGCAGATCATGCCTGCAAAGACTGAGGGCCGTATAACCATAAGCGTCCTACGCTTATAAGAGGATCGTAGCAGTTTTTGATGGTTATGTGCTAGTAATGTGCCGGCGTGCACACGTTTCGAAGGAGTGCGTCGCACTGGTGTTGCCGTCTCTTCTGTTTGTCGGATAATGGCGTCGCCGTATAGCAAGCATAATACAATACACGCACTCTCTGCTATGGTGCATGCAATTATAGAGTATTGGCTGGGATAGGCATCGCGTCGTATGACACATTTGCAGTCATACAGCATATCTATAGCGCCTCCCCTGGGTGTGCAATACAATAACACCGACTAGTGGACAACGGCTGCCTCGTAGAGTGTCTAGATTACGACGGCGTACGATGAATACGAAATCAGCTCAGCGCATCAGTATGTGGAATACTCTGATGTCCTCGGAATATGCGTATGTACCCAGCTGAATCTGAGTAGCACCTATTCAGACGAACAAGTCACCATAACCAACAACTTTTGATAGCAAAATGGTAAACTGGACAGGGAACAAAGGAGAGAAACCGCATTTCATAATCGTGAAAGTTACGTCAAATACAGTGTTATACGTTAGGACGGGGACATGGTTTTCACTGCACGTCTGGCCGTATTTTAGTATTAGTTTGTAAAATTGATTCCTAATCCCCTTTTCTCATTGGCCGCATTTATAGTACGCTTCGTCTGTTAACTTCATCTGATAATGTGACTCGATAGTGGCACAAACGACGAACGGCATTATCATGCGCTGGCAACCAGAATTCATCTGATTAGAACAAGATTTTAACAGACTTCTAGTTTTTCTCATCAGTTAGCTAAGACCCGAAGCCAGAACACCAAACAGCACAGCGGGTGGCGTTCCTGCCGCTCGTGAAAAATCGAAGGACGCTTTGCGCGACGACGCTCACGATTGGCAACAGCTGTGCGCGTTCGTTTATGCTGCTGCATAATGTAAAATCACAGTTTTAAAATTTCTTTGTGATCAAGTAATTTAGTAATAGGCTATTGATTTATTCTAAACAAGTGAAACGCGTTCGATGATTATTGGCCACCTACGCTTGCCCAGAAACGCTCAATTGCGAGCGTACTCATTCCAGTAACTATGCATCTATTCTTACTAGCAGATCTCAGTACCTGAAAGCGGCCCGGGTCATTGACAAGCCTGACCCAACCCTCGGTTTCTACTAGTATGTAGGAAAATACAATACCTTGACAATGATGAACCTCTGCGGCTGCTTTTGCCTCGCCGTCCTCTGCGGTCATCTTGGCGTCGTAGCAGTTGAAGCACCCCTTAGCCAGCTAGATGGCTAGCCATTCTTCAATAACACGTTAGCACAAACGCTCACGCTCAATATTGCATGGGAGACCAGGAACTAGGCAACGCTAGCTGAAACACCAGTAGCGGGTGCAGGAAACAGACTTGAGAGAACTGCACGTACACGACAATACTGAGTCGCTCACGCACTTGGTACTGCTGCACCCATTGTTATAGTAATAACTCGATCTGATCTGATTAAGCCAACCGAAGCCGATCAACCATCACTCACTTGTCATTGAGGGTAGAATTGTAAAGCTGCCAGCCACTGAGGTTGCACGTTGAATCAGATTAGAAGATCGCTTGTAGACTGAAGGTAGAAAAAAAGTGGCTGTTTTGGGGGACGAGGGGGTCGGCAATACTAGCTAAATCAAGATAGGTCAGACACTAGCTTCGCACATAATTCGCACCGTTACGACTATGAGCACGGCCGTACCTTGCTAGATAATAGATGCCACTGAATGAAGCGGACTGCGGTGACGAAGATTCTTTCCCTGTTTTCTTGTCTTCCCTTTTCTGTTTGATGCACTCGAACCAGCTGGAACAGATTCATTTGGATTCATCGGCACTTTTCAGGAGGCACAGGTATATATGCGCGAATACGCTCAAGGCATCCAGAAACGCTCAACGACACGCAGCGCTCGTCACTAGCAAACATTTCTTCTTCCGTTCAGCACTGTTACTATACAATAGCACACAGAGGGCTATCCAACACTCAAACACGCCACGAAACACGCACGCTCCTTTACACCGGACTGAACGCTTTACTCACTTCGGTCAGACTTGACTTGTTTTTTTGTTAGGTATGCTTGTTTCTATCGACGTCTGTCGTTACTAGTTAGCTCCCAGCTAATCGCAGTGGCAATAGTGGTTGTAACACGCGTCGTAACCTAGTCGTTGCCGTTATTAATACTGTGTGTGTGGTTGGGTACAAATTGTTGTAAAGGTAACTGTATTGCTTTGTGCTTTGTTTGTCTATCGCTGCTGCTGGATCCAGCGGCGACCAACGGCACTATGGCATCAGCAGTGACACTATCTCTCGTTACACACGCACACACACAGATACAACATTGATACACAGAAATAGAGGCACTGCGAAACGAAGACCTCCACTAACAGCAGCGACGGCAGCAGCAGCGTCATCAGCAGTTGCTGCAATTGTTATCGCGTTTGTGGTGCGAGCCGCGGACTCGGGTGGCACAGGAGCACGAAGCTAGCGGCTGCACGCTCAGCGAGGCTCGCACACGGTTTACTTGCTTGCCTGCTTACTCCTGATCCTGCTACTGGCGCCGTTTGTACGGTCGTCGCCGTCTTCTTTTTTTTTTTTGATCTCTTGCCTCGTTCTGTTTTGTTGTCGGCCGCGGCCTCGTAGAGTTGTCGAACGGTGGCCTCAGCCAGCGGTAAAGCGCAACAACCGCTGTTTCCTTCTGTTGTTTGATGTATTGTTTTTGTTGTTGCTGTTGTTGTCGTCGTTGTTGTTGTACCGCTACTGTCGCTGCTACAATTATTAGTATTACTACTAGCGTTGCTCTAGAATTGCAGCATACACGCACACACGCACACAGATACTCTGTATTGATCTGATGTACAGCGCCAGCCGTCTCTACCGTCACGATCACCTCGACTACCGACTGAGCTGGCGACTACAGTCGCTATCTGTGAGCCGCGGTAGCGATCAGTTCCTGCTCACTTCTACTACAGCAACTCCTGCTGCTGCTGCTGCTGTTGCTGCTGCTGCTACCCCACGCCAGCCAGATCAGCGGCTGCGCTGTAGAGAGCCAGAGCCGTCCAGCTTGGACCACCACCAGCAACAACAACGGCGGCGGCGGCGGCGGCAGCGGCGGCGGCGGCAGCCGCAGCAGCAGGAGTCTCTCTGTGTATGTCTTCTCTATGCTGCGGCTGCTACGGCCTCTCCGTTCTGGGATATTCTCCCGGCCGTTCGATGTGGCTGGTTCTTTCGGACCGTGTGTCGATGAATCTCGATGTTGTGTATATTGCCAGTGTTCGCCGTTGACGCTGCTGCCGCAGCGGCAGCCGCTAACATCCGCCGCTGCTTCGCCTATATATCTGTGTGTCTGTGTGCTTGTCGGTCGGTGTGTGTGTGTGAGTGAACCTGCGCGTACGCGTGTCCAGATAGTGCTTGTCTCTCTGGGTAGCTAGCATGCTGGCCCGCTCTGCGCTAGCTCCGTTCGTCTCTCCCTTCGTTTTTTTCCTCCTCTTCGTCGACGATGACAACGACGACTTTTCGTTCTCTACTTTCCTCCTTCTTGTCGATCGCTTGTGCTGTAAGCGAACGACGAGCGACAGAAACAGCGCACCACACGGTGAGCGTTGCCGTTGTCACTGCTGCTGCTGCTGCCGCTCCCAGCTGAAAGCCGACGTGCGGCAGCCAAGCGCAACCGCTCCAGCAGCACTGAGCTAGTCACATTGGCGGGGTACACATACAGCAAGAAACGCTGCTGATGTCGCTAGTCGTATCATGGTATTCGTTCATGTTGATGGCAGTGCTGCTGCTGTTTCCGCCGCCGTATGTGCCGCCGGGGCCGCTCCACAACATCGAACTCCCTCCCTCCTTCCGCCCTTCCCGTATTTACTACTACTCGAGCCGCTATAACCAACAGCAGCATGGGAAGCTCATGGCCCACTCAGATAGCTCGCCTATCTGATACCATGGACAGTTGGGTACAGCTGTGTATAGTTGAGCACTGGAGAGTGTGTGCCTGTCCGTGTAAGTTTCTCAAAAGCTCGATGCACGCTTGTGGCTGCGCGTGTGAATCTTTTTGGAAGGATTTGGGCGAGTGCACGTACTGATGTTGCTGCTGGCGGTCCTGATGGCCTGCCTAAATGAAAGCGGCGGCAGCCTAACGTTTTCGTCCCTTCAGACGTAGCGCACACTTCTGCTGCATCCTCAACCAAACACACCGGCAGCATCGCCACTATCTCCTCTTGGTCCACTGCCGCCGCCGCCGCCGCCGTCATCACAACCGGCTCCCCTCTGTTGTGCTTTCCTCGATAGCAGCAGCATAGTGGCAATAGAACCTGTCTACTGCTTCGCCACACAGAGCCATAGAGTATAGTTAGCTAGTCGTCTAGGCAGCCGGGTTGACAGCAGGAACACGCGTAAGTGCTGTTGGTTATTTTCGGACAGGTTGAAATTTACCGAAAGCTTCTACGATCACAGCATCAGTAGCAGCAGCAGCGTCACAAACCAGCAGCATTTCTAACAACATCGCTGGATCCGCCGTTATCCGCTGATGTTCTATGCACTCTTGGCCGCTAACTCTGCTGCATCGGACAGATAGGCAAGTAGACACGCAAGCAAGATATCTCGTGCAGCAGCGCCCGCGTTCGGCAGCAGTCAGTTGTGGTAGTAATAGAAGTGTTTAATGCATGTGCCAGCCAACGAGAACAACGCTCGGTTCGCTCCTTTAGACGCGGTAATCGCCAACTCTCTTTTAACTGTTTCGGTTAGCTGGCCGCGACGAGAGACTAGATGGCGGCAGCAAGTGGAATTGCTCAGGCCCATCTTCTGATTATAACTAGCATCATGCTCGTCATGGTCAGTAGCAGCAACAGTCATATGGGTCCGAACCTAAACCGGGCGACAGCACGGGCTCAAATGTAGCTCACGCTGCAGGCCTGTCTACAGGTTAAAACACCGGTATCGATTGGCCTGCCAGTGAGCCTATCTGCTCTGTAGAAGTTAGACATGTAAGCAACACGATTTGTAGGTTATGGCGCCGTAGGAAGCAGGCGGGCGGGCGGGCAGTCAGGCTGACTACGAATATAATAGCGTCATCGGGACGCAAGCTTACGACAAAGGGACAGAGCTACAGCTGTAGCGGCAAGCGGTAGCAGTCGCCAACAGAAGAAGTCTTAAGCTTCTGCTGCGGCAGGATGGCTTTTGTGATGATAATATAGTAATGCTGGCCTCTTCTTTCCTGTTCGATGGCGGCGATGGCGACTTCTGTGATAGTAACAGCAGCAGCGCTTAATCGCGAGAAGCGTTGAGCAATGGACGAGATCCCGGTTTGATCTATACTTGTATCACTCGACTGTGCTCTGCTCTGCCCGATGTTCCCGATAAGGGGGCTCTCCACTCACTTTTGCTTTGAATCTTCTTCTTACAGGGGCGGTTTGCTGTGTAGAGGCGGCGGCGTTTACGAATTGCGACAAATCGCGAAGGGTTTTTCTGCCACTGGTGGAAGCTCTGCTGCTGTTGCTGCCCATTCTGTTACGATGATTGTTGTAGGAAGCTGTGGTCGCGCAGTACGACGCGTCTAAGAGGCCTTGAAGCGGGTGCTGCACACGATCCTACAATAAATGCTCGGACAGAGCCTGGCGCTGTCGTTTCTAGTGGTGGTGATAGGAGCGCTAACTAGGAACGATGATCAGGGCTCGTCAGATCAAGGACGAAATGGCTGGCTTGCTGGCTTAAGGCAGCCGTACGTAGGCGATACGTGGGCGGTTAGTGGACAACTACGAGAACAACAAACGATGGAACGGGCTCAGTCCGTACGTTGGTCTGCCTGATCTCTGCCTGTTCGATGAGCTGCTCGTTCCTTGTCTCTCCTCCTTAGCTTCTGTTATTGGCCTGGCGTCATCCTTTAGCGCGTCTGTCTTGTTCGTTCCCTTGTTCTCCCTTTTTCTGTGACTAGTGTAGATTCATTTACACGTATGGCTGCAGGTATTGTTGAGCACCTCTTAATAGAGGCTTTAGGGGCAGCGCGACCATTGGGAGCAGAATAGTACATCACCACCATGACAACGCGGAGCAGCCGCAGGCTGTCTATAGGGCGCTCTGCGGCGGGACAAATGAACAAGTTGCCGCGAGTACTTAGTGAGGCTTGCAGACAAAGCAACGGGAATACCTAGCTGCCGTCGGTGTCGCCTGGCGCTTGCCGATGCTTTGGTTCCCATACCAATGGATAAATGTGGAAGTAGAGAGAGTATTGGCAACAACGGAGAATGGGTTTCTCAGCTCTCCGTTCGTCGGGGGGAAAGGGGAGAACTGAGGGGATTTCGGGGTAAAGGCCTTCTTCCCTTCACTTTCTATCCCTTGAGTAGGCCCAGCATCAATAGCAGCCGCAGCAATATGAGAAGCAAATCAGTCTACTGCTACCCGAAGACGAGACTATGACGCTGTTAGACCTCTAGCATTGTACCTAACAAGGTCTAATATGATGTCCAATTGGTTCCAACTATGCCTAGTTAGTCGAGTACGAAAATGAGGTATCTCTGTAGTGGTCCTGCTGAGCAACTCGGCAATAGCGACTGTAAAGCCATTGGGCTGGCGCGCTACTGCGCCGCTGCTATTACTGCTTCTGAGGTTGATGCTCGCTCCGGGACTGTCGCTGATTCTCATCTAATATTGATGGTGACGGCAATGGCGAAGGTCATGGCAACCGTGTCGCAATCTTCCGGTGGCCTTCCCATAATGCTTTTCATTGGTTAATGATAATACATCTTCATGCTTTTTCCTCGTTGGTGTCAGTGACTTCTGCTGTCGTTGTGTATGATGGCGAGGCACGACCACTCGCAGCTCGTCGATCGGCACAGCAGCAGTGAGGCATGCTCTTTGCATCTTTGCCCATATCGTTGGTCTTAATAGATAGACAAAACCTTCACTAACCACTGTGACTGTTTTCGTTACATTGCATCGGTGGTTGGCGATGAGTATTTTTGCCGAACCCTGCAGGGCGGATAGGACAGCGCAACGATCTTAACCATCACAGACCGTACGCTGGTGACATTGTATCGATAGCAACAATCAGAGGCTGTCGATCAGGAGGTCGAAGTGAATTCCAACAATCGATTTTGTCCATCCCCTTTCGATCCCTTATATGAGCATTTTCAGTGTGCTCAGGCCACGCCGGAGAGGGAGAAATCTAGATCGGACCCATGAGTCATTGCGGCTGCTCCAGCCAACCACGCAAAGGACACTAACAATACTGTCGCCTATTTGCTTTTCCTCATTATGTTCTTCCTGTTTCATTCAAAGTCTTTTCCGACCATTATTGGGACTTCGACTTAGGTTATACCGCATCAATGATACGACTGAATAAATCTGCTCAGAGTCAGAAACCGATTAGCGGATTGCGGTCAGTTGCTGATGGCTGCCGCCAATCAAACGGCCCGGAAATGTATTTGAAACGATGGAAAAGAGAGCCTAACATTAGCAGTGTTTCAGTCCGTAAATATGATTTCTTTATGAACGGATAAAAATCAACAAAACACGAGCGAAGCCCGTGCCTGTGCAATTAACAAGCGCACGAGCCTGGCGGAGTAACGGTGCTAGTAGTACGAGACTAGCCGTAATGAATAACAGGAACATCTTTTTCTATCTCTTTCGAGGATAAAAAGCTCGCTCGAAATAATCTTCTCGTCAATACATGACGCAACAATTTATAGCGGTATTAAAAGCGAACTCGTGTTGCTACTATCGCTTCAGTCCCATGTCGCGGTTAGTTACAAAGAATGTATGGGGGTTGTGATTGCAAAAACCGCTCTTGAAGTGGCACTACTCTAGCAGGTATAGCCACATCTACTTCTCTTCATGGTACTCGCAGTAGCTTGATTATATAGCGGCGCGTCTATTGAATTGGTTTTTACACCCGAGTCACCACAACGGACAGCGTTGCAAAGTAGGTCTCGAAACAGCGATCAAACGGGGTAGACACCATTGAAGTCCAGTGAACTGGCCTGATGTTAATCAGTGTCACACGGTATGTCTGGTTAGCATCGATGTGTTTGGTATCAAGCTAGATCCGGTGGTTATTTGCATCGCTCCCATAATGATATAGTGATGTCGACAATCGCAGACAGGAGCGAAGATATGCGTCCCTCTACACTACAACAGTGACTCGTTGAGGAGCATCCGTTGAAATGTTTCTTTCCATTTTTGAGCAGTTTGCAATTTTCAATGCTTCGCATCTTCAAACCACCTATCTGATAGTCATAGTGTAGGCTAAGATGAGGAGTAGGTGGATATCACCATGCGACTTAGATAGGTCAAACAGATCAATGGCAAATGCTACTCAAGGGAAGGCAACAAAACTCGTGCAGCTTTTGGCAATACATTTCAGCCCTTTTTTATATCGATGTACTATGCTTTTGTCAGTCCTTTTCCTAACTAAGTCACTGACAGATATCAAGCTTCTCAAAGTCATTCTACACAAATCAGTCCACGTATGGGGCAGTTTTCGCTGCGTCCAATCGCTCTCACGTTGGGTTTTGTGCCCGCACAAGTAAAGAATAAAGCTGCAAGTTAGGCAGATGGAAATATAAGTCTCTTCCCTAACATTTTTCGAACTTATTCATTTGGCACTTGCCGTCAATTCGATTCCCGCGCATAATCCTGAGCTAACATCTAATGGCCAAAGCTTTTTGAAATCGGAGACTAAAGGTGTTACCGTTGTACTACAGTCATTTGAGAACTCATTTGACGTCTTTCGCCTACTGAGTAGATGTAGTAATCGCAGTAGAAAGCTACGTAGGATTGTCGTGGTTTCATCGGGTTCATCGGTCCGAGACGCTGATTCAGCCAAGCGGTTCTGCCGCGAACGAGCTGGACTCACGCGAACGAAGAGAAAATCAGCGAAGATGTGAAACATAGGCATAAAGAGGTGCACGAATAAACACTCACGCACACACACACACATACATATAGATGCAATAACACTGAGAAAGACCACAACAGCAGTATACAGGTAGCGCACGTTGCAGCTGATGTTGGGTAGTACGCACACGCTAGAGATTCGAAATCGATTTTCTATATTTGAAGTGTGCACAAGCTTTTCTGTACCGACTCAGTCATCATCATGGCAGTCATCAACTCTCTGAGTCAGCGACTGTCGCTTTAAGCTACTTTATGATATGTCACGCACAAGCCTGTAAGGCACCTACGTAGCTGCGGCTAAAGAAGAATAACTGCAATGCAACTGTTATAAATAGGGACGTACAACTAACATCAAATAACAATACCGCTACGTTGCAAGGTTTTAATTTTTCCGGTGACTTGTCGTTTAGTTTGCGTAGGCTCGTCTTGCTATACTCTTAGTTTCCATACGTGCGTAGCACGCGGGGCTATGCCGGTTTGGATATGATTCGGTGGTCTGATATTCTCTAAAGATCTCTCGTAGCATTGTTGACCTCGTCTTGCCTTCAAACTCGTGTAGACAAAAATTGAAAATCCATAATATTGGTTCATTTAAGATTCATTTAAGACTCTAGCATTATGCTTCATACTGTCGCCTATATAATACGGTGTGTATATGAAGCTGCATGACCGAAAGTTTATCCATGCAAACAAACGTAAGCCATTCTACGTACTATAGGGAATTCGGGCAAAATCGCAGCGAAAGCTCAGGACAGTCACTTTGTTAAGACTTGTACCTTTTGGTAATAGGCACACCGTCCTGTGTGTCTGAACTGCACAGAAAACAATCTGATCTATTCATAATGGTACATGATTTCTGTGACATGTGCGTGTGTTTTCTACACAAACTTGTTATGTTTATATGTGTGTGTGTGTGTGTGATATCTACAGCGTCATCGTAATGTATTTACGCCGCTCGTGTCGTTGCTAACGGTGGTTCGCTGCTATTAAACTATCCAAAATAATCAACATACCAGCAACAACAGGACGTTGACACAGAAGTTACAGCTGTGTAGACGATAACCTGCATCGGAGGACAGTGTGCGCTGTTGCTGAGATCGCCGTGTTGCGCCCTGCCACAGACCAAAACGCCGAAGGATCGATATCTGAGCATATCCCCGCGGCGGTTGATGATTGTTGGTGAAGAAGAAGTTCGACCTTCTCTCGTGCTTGGCCGTCGAGATATAAAAGAAGTACCCGTACATAGTACGAGTTTTCATGCTGCCTCCCTGCTCTAAAGTATCCCGTACCAATGAAACATAGTTGGTCAGCTAGATAAAAAAAAAGTGAATTCATCTGGCCCGCTTCTTAGGTTTGTTTGGCTCCAAATGTACGGCCATAACTGCCAGTCTAAAGAGTTAGCTTCGAATTCTGATCTGACGAGGAGAGTGAACTTTCTCAAAAGCGTTGTTCATTCCGCCCTCTTCTAGCTATTCTACTACTTAGGCCAGAACGATCATCTTCTGGCCACTCGCAGGGTCGATTGGCCGGCCCCACATCACGATAGCCACCAAGATCACCAACCGTCGCCCGTTACTGCGGCAGGCATCGATGGCGTCAGCGATCCACGGATACGACTTCTCTCCCGACGGACGACCGTTTTTTTCGTTTTCTTCTTCCACCGATTGTGCCGAGCAGCTGTTTTGCCCATCTGCGGGGAAGCAAGCGCTTTGGGCTTGGCCAGAAAGGCAGCCCACAGGTTAAGCTGTTCGCCAGTTTCTACCGGTTTTGTCTGTATACGCCATCACGGCAAGCTGCGCGAAGAATACTGCTTGCGTTGCTTAGCGTATATATTCGCAGGAATGGTTGCAGGTAACATTGACCAGCAGCTTAGATGAACTCTGCCTGGGTGGATATGGACATCTGTGCGTCGTTGCGGTAATGCGCGTTGTACGTTGAGATAATAGTACATCGATTGTTGAATACAGTAGTCGGTAGTAGCCGTCCTATTCTTACTCAATTTATAACCGAAGATTAACTTTTGCCTGCCTTTGTTTTTCACAAGTTGATGCCGGTATCTATTCGTCATTCGTTTCGTATGTCAGTAGCGGCAACAGGCTGGTGGCAGCATCTGTCGATATCTTGGCGAATAACCCTGCCTATTTTTCGCATCAGGGGTAGCCCGCCCGTGAAGCGCACCCTCGCTCCGAAAGCGATTGGAAACAAGTTTCCTTTTCTGACGACAAGGCGGTGGCGCCCTCGGTGACCGCTGAAAGAAGGTTAGGTGGGAATATACCGCTTTTACCGGTGTAAATTGTTTGTCGGACTATATCTCGATGGAGGGCTGTTCGATGTCATTTCGGACGCGTGCTGTACAATCATCAGAAACAAAGTTTCTAAGTCCATATAATCAATAAAAAAGGTGATTTTTCTTCATATCGAAATGTTGATTTCATATTACTTTAGAATTTTGTCTACCAACTGATTGCCTCATAATCTCCTCTGAATATTTTACGGTGTACATGATCGTATTTAGAACACGTAATAATTTACCATGACGGTGAAATCTATGCGGTATTTTGATATTTAAAATCGATCGTTAAGGCGATGATAGGATTTAGTAAACCAAGAATTTTTGCCGGTGAAGAGAATCGTGTTGCAGCTAAAAGTTTACTACTCTAAAAAATACTTCGCAGAGAGTACATCGGAAAATACGCGACTGTGTGGAAACTATTGTCTCAGTTGAGAGACTTGTGCGTGCAAAGTAGTCATTTCGTTTCTGTAACCTATGGTTAAAAAAAGAGAATTCATTTTGACTCATCGCGCGTTATTTCTTAGTTTTAAATAAAAATTGCTCAAGAACTGGTCTTTATGACAGATAGTTTAAGCGGTTAAGATTGTGCTATTCAATTCCTAAAAGCTAAACGTCAGTGGAGACGATGAGGCCCTAAAACAAGTTCCTGTTCTAGACGATAATAACGTAACATCTTTTTGATGCGATCGACTTATGTTTCAGTATTCGAGCTCTAGTGAATTTTTTAGCTAAATTATTTGCCGATATTGCAATGACGGGCTAAAAAAAATACTCACTTAACAATATCGCAAGAAGGGATACGTGCGTTCAAACTTACTGCATATTTTCAGTCTATAAAGACTAACCATCGCTAGTTCTTCTCATTTTATATTTCCACTGACAGAAATTTAAGAGAATCAAGAGAAATTTTGAATTAGATATTTTTTTAGTAGTCATTATGTAAAAAGAAGTTCGACGAGTGAGACTGCGGTGGTTAAGCAACGGACGGATTAAATAGTCAGCAGTTTACACGCATACACGCACAAACAAACACAGCAACATCCAAATGTGCAGCATTAGTTTACATAATAATTTGGACCTTCTTCTGTAAATCCTATTACGACAATAATCTCAAAAATACTCGATACCTTTGGAAACATGTATAATTTTTCTTCTCGTTATTAAGCATGTGTATTATCAGCGACATTAATAGATAATCTACCAAAAAATTACTTAAGATTGGCTGGCACGGTACAAGATAAAACAGTAGAGTCTTAATTTTACGGAGGTACTCAGAAGTCTTTAACAATAGTAAAGGTTTTCAGGCAATCTGAAGCTAAAAAATAATGCCTCGTGGTTTTCTTGTTACTTGACATATTACTCATTACTTTTTAAATGACTGACTCAGTTTGACTTATGCTGGGCAAAAAGCGGATTTTTCGCTGTAAATAGGTAGATAACCTCACCTTTTCAATTAAGGTAGCATATCTCTCGCCGTCATATATTTATCTAAGCGATATCTAACAAGTCACTTGTCTTTGTAACTTTCAGCTGTAAAATGTACATCAATTGGGAAGATGATTTATTCACTGAGTTCTATTAGCCTGTAAAGGACTGACTTCGAGTTTTGAAATAATCTGTGTAGTGTTTGACTCGCCTATAAAATTTAACACAGAGTCCGCTTCTTTGACAAAAACAGGAGCAGCAGGATTTATAAGAAACCAAGGCAGGATAAAGGTCGTAAAATATGCTAATAAAATAGGCAGTAATCAAATGCAATTAAATTATAGTCATAACAATTAACGGTAAACAAGGACACTCGGGACTATATTTAGGAAATATCTAATTGTTTTACAAGATATTTACTTCAAAATATTCACCTAGTGGTAAGAAACTTATTGTTGGTTCAAGTATATCAAGTCTTGAATTTCTTAGCTAGATTTGCTATTGTATCATTCTAACCTCAATATAGTGCCACTGAGCCTCTTAAAGTCTAACGCAATTTTTCGTACCCAAAAATGACTTAAAATTGACAGTATTTTAAAATTAACGTGCTGTAATGAAATATTTTTATTGATAATAACTGTAGGTATGAACTAATTTTTGTACGATGCTGCAAAAGGTGCAATTAACTACCTAACAAGTTACTTTAATGTCTTTTCAGTGAGACCTGAGAATACACTAAGTTTACTTCTCATTTCCAATATTTGGCTCGCAAAAAAATTATATTGAAGCAATGAATGGAATTCGACAGTAGTTGCTTCTGGTTAGTTTAGGCAGGATTTAGCACCGATGGGTCTATAATAGCAAACAATGGTTAACAATAACTCAGCGTTTTAAAACTGACATCATACTAGGGTTTTGTTACTTATGTCGATTGATTAGTTTTTTTTTAATATATATACAAAGGTGAGTCGAAAATGCATATTTGATTTTTGATCGAATAAATATGTAAGAATACGCTGTTAATTTCAGGTCATGTTTCAACAATGGAACGTTTAATATTTGTTGATCACCTCAAGAGTAGCTTTCTCAACAGCGGTTCTGAGGATATTTCTTATCATCAAGATTTATTCGCCATTTATAAACCGTTCGCAGCTCAAAGTAGCGATAACATTTCAAAAAGAAAACGAGCAGCATGCGGAGACTCAGAAACAGAACTTAGTGGAGAATGGCCTCTTGATCAAGATATTGCAGACAATCTCAAAAAGTTTGTTATAGAGAATTCGGATGAGTTTGCACGTGAAGTCCTGGATGATGCTGAAAACAGTAAGGCAAAGCAATCGGCGGCCGTTATTCCATCAAGTTACTTTTTTCGAGGTTGCACTTATCAGATATTTTTTAATGAAAATGGGAAAACACAGAAATGTTATTTTCAGAATCGACAGTTTCTTCTGCCGCCACACTCAGTAGGTATTCTGAGTACGTTGAGTCCAAGTTCAACGATCGATATGCTTAAAGCAGCACATACCTTATATGGGTCTGACGGCCGTTTTGATCTTATCGTTATGGATCCTCCTTGGATTAACAAGTCAGTGAAACGACAACGCCGCTACATGACAGCTGATGCACAGGATTGCCTCTCTCAACTAAAGATTCAAGATTTACTCGCCTATGACGGTCTCCTTATTGTATGGTACACTCATAACATTAGTCATTATACTTATCTCAAAGAGCAACTTAGCGGATGGAATTTGCAATTGGTAGCAACATGGACTTGGCTTAAAGTAACGACAAATGGGACGCCCATTTGTCCTTTAGGTCGAAATTTCAAGAAACCTTATGAGCACGTGCTCCTGGCGACGCGAAACCAGTTGTACACCGAGAAACTCTTTAAGAGTAACGGTAAGATTATTGTGTCTGTACCAAGTGCAATACACTCGCATAAGCCAAACTTGGAATGCGTTTTGGAACAATTTGATATTCACTGCAAACGTCTCAGGTGTTTAGAGCTTTTTGCCAGGACGCTTAAATCAAACTGGGTGTGTTTTGGTAACGAAGTTATTAAGTTGCAGTGCGTTGAAGTGTTCGACGTCCTAAACTAGAAGTCTCGTTAAACGTCATTAGGTAAACATTGTAAATGTGTATTAATAAATTATTAAATTGTATACTCGACTACCTATTACCTCAGTGTGTAGAAAGTTAGAAATCAAAACGCCTTAGTACTGCTATTCTATAAGATCCGTTTATGTTTTTGAAATCTAACACTGGGAGCCTGTCAATAAAATATGGGGCATGCACTTCTATTAATTTATCAACTACGGAATAATTCTATATTGTCCGCAGTACATACCACCTTTATTTGCGATAATATAACATTCTATATTAATAAATGTTTGCATATATATACACTTTTACTCAAGACAATATAAAGTTACAGTCCTTGGTTTGATGATAGTAACACTTGTGAGTGATGCTCATCCAATAAGAGAGCGATTTGAGGTCACTGACCTCAGCCATATTTTATTAAAAAGAGCTCGATTGCTTAACAATCCGGAAAGGTAAACTTCACATGCAAGTTTGGCTTGAAACAGTAAGTTCCCGCAAAGTCATTTCACTCCTTTGATAGCGGGCCCAAATTAACGATAACCGCGTGCTGCAATGACAGGACCTCGTACTCCCGCTTGTTGCCTTGGATTGTTTGATTGGTATACGTGTGTGTTAAACGGAAGCCGATCTGAAACAATCGTTCAAGAACGGATGATGTCCAGTAAATAAGAGACATATGTTTGTGACGTCAAAGTAACATCACAACAACATCAAGCCGATCAAGCAAGACAACGACTTACAATAACGTTGCTGCATTGCTGAGGCGTAATCTGCATCTTGAAGCCCAACTTGTTACATCGCTTGAAGGTAACCACACTGTAAGAAAAAGCAGTGAGGGTGAAAATGAAAAATTAGATATCTATGTAACTATACATTTACTTTATATTCACATACAAGATACATATCACTGATAGCTCCATATATTTACTTAATAGGTGACAGTTAATAATTACGTGCGCGTACATGGTACGTACGCACTTGAATTTTGAGGAAGCTAGACTCACAAATGATTACAATGAGAACAAACAAATGATAGTCTAGTTATCGTCACCGTTATGACCTGTTACAGGATTGTAAAAAGCGCAGATGGGGCAAACCTTTTGTTATTTCGATCGTCCATCTTATCCGCTGTATCATCATATTCGGCGGCGTCATCTTTGGCGGACAGGTACATCGTGCATGACGGCAATGCTATAGCACTATTTGTACACGTCACCTCCGGAAAAATGAGACCAGTACCCGTGGGCGTGCCTGGGTGGCCCTCCAGCGGAAGCAGTGCGACCGATACCTGCAAGAACATACGCGCTCCTATAAAGTACCTCGGAAACTTCTATGTCCATGCTAATTTTCTATTTGAGCTTCTTTCCGGTCGGTTCATATAACCTACTTGAACGAATGTCAAAACATAAAACGTTGTTATCTTATGAGTTTAAATTTCCTGACGAATAGGTCACCGAAATAACCAAATACTATGACTATATACTCGGTTTACAAGGAAAAATGATGTTTCATTCTTACGTCACTCAAAATATACAATACAGTATCTATATTGGAATTGGTAAAGTACAAATAAGTTTAATTTAGATTTTTTTAAAAAGGCCTAATAATCTTGCGAATACCTCATGAGGCGTTGGGTTAGTAACTGTAAGTTCGATTGTGACCTCCCTTCCAGCAAGAAGTTGGGGACACGTCTTTACTCGGACTTCCGGTATGTGATAATAAGCTGACAACTGAATCTTGAATTTGACTGAACCAGGATTATATTCAGGCTTACATAGCGAATGCGTGCAATCCTTACACCTGTGAAATGTAAGGCACCTGAGCATCATTGAATACCTGCATCTAACGTAGACTTTCTTTTCAACAAATATTTATTTATTACATGTAAACACTTATCATATAACCCATTACGATCCAACAGTTGTAAAGTAGAAGATAACACATGTCAAATCTGACATTTAAAAGTTTTAAAAAACATTTAGAAGTATATACCTTTGTGATTTTTTTGTGAGTAGCTTGAGATTCTTCATCCGGAGGTCAGCCATCCTGGTAGGTTGTAGTTCTGGATTGCTAAGTCGCATGCGAATATTGGTTACTTCATCGATGTTGAGGTTGTTCAGAAACCGCTCCGGCAGATCATCTACTTCCTCGCTGGCCTCTGCCGCAAAACAGCCTTCGGCAACCTTTTGCGACTCTCTAAGCAAGCGCAGCAAATTCAGTTGAGAATGAAAATGAAAGGCTTCATGGGATTTGGCTCAGGTGTATTAGAGGAGACCATCATGAGTAGAACCTCAACAACCGTATGTATTTCTGGATTATCTAACAGGCTGAAACATAATCTAGGTAACACCAAAAGTAGATATTTTAAAATAATCGGTGTCCTTTTTTACGTATTGTTCAGGTATTGACAAGCGACTCACTTTCGTGGTGTCACTTGTAGGCTCATGTACTTCTTTGCGACAACCGTCGCAACGCCGTATTTGTCACTAATATAATAACCACACTTTTGTGTAATCCTCCGCTTGTCCTTTTCAAGCTTCTCATTATGCGCTACAATTCGATAATATTCGCATAGCTGATGAACACGATCCTGGTTGGGCGCCTCGAGACGGGGCCATCCACCAGAAGCCATAGGTTGATTTTTAAGACCCTGCTCATGAGTAGACCACCTGTTGAATTCAGCAGCCCGTAGGCAAGTAAGGACTAGATTTGATGAAAAGAAAAATTTTATCCTTATTATCGTAAATAAAAACTAGATTTCACCGTCCTAATCAAGTTAAATACATTTTGCGAGAAATAGTTATCATATTCTGTGCTCAGATAAATTAGTAAGTAGAACAAAATAGAAAAGGAAACACGTACCGTCTACAAAAATCGGCAGTATGTTATAATTCTTCTCTTTGCTAAACCCAACCCAATTCAACATGTTGCTTGCTAACTATTCTATATTAAAAAGAGATTCTGTGTAGTAAACAGTTTGTTGCTCTAGCCTCGCCGGTGTTCAGTCACGCTAAGAAATAACATACTTCAACCTATACAATTATGATTCCAACGGTCATATATATATAGCAGCTTAACTAGAAGTAAAGTAGTGGAGAATAGAATGTGTAGAAATGACAAACTATAGACATTTATTACGGCTCACTTGCATGAGTTGCACATCAGGTAATAGCCTCGTTTATTGACCATGATGTTCGGGTCATCTTCCGAAGGAACTTGCTGTGTTACCCCACGGCTATAAAGTGCAATACCGCAGCACGGACATTCAAAACACGTTGTACATCTGGAACAAATCGCAACCATTCACGAAAAGTCATTTTCAACCTCCTCTATTGAGTGTTAGGCCCATCGTCATAAGTTTCACGTCACTATTAACACTAGTAGCTATCAAAACCGGCACATCCTACCGCCGTCTAGTGCATACGCTTCAAAATTAACAATTCGAATCTAGAGTTTTAATTAAGTGAAATAGTACTTACACATTTTTTTTAATGCGAGCTTCAGGGGAGGGCATGAACTCGAGGCAGTTGGGACAATAATGCGTATCCACCTGTGAACAATCAATTAACAAACTCATGTTATGTTTGGCTTTACAGCCTAATTGACTTCTATGATTAACAGATAAATGTAAAGAGTGTATTCAGCATGATTGCTTATACTTCTCACTGCATGCGGCACTTCAGCAATGTGGACTATCACTAAAGCAAAGTTAGTAACAATTTAAACTTTAGACTTTCAAATGTAACTAGCAAAATTGCCACTAGTGGATGTTGTAAACGTCATACGGTGGGTGTTAAACATTTTCATTAACTAAGTTATGATATATTAACGGCGTCTCCCAGGTATCAGTTTGAAAATTAAGAGAAGTATCATCGGAATCACTTGTGTACCTCTAATGAATTTTGTTGTAGCCGTGCCTAATATTTCAGGTCAAGTGCGCCTATATTATAATCATCATTATTATACCAAAAGAAAAAAAGTCTCATTTGGTATCATACCTATTCCCTAAATTACTGATTCAGTCTCGTAAGTCGAAGTGCACTTATTAGCTATAAAAAAAATTATGATAGAAATCTCTGCCTGACGATACTCAATTATATGATACCAAAATATGGGCAGGCCTCCTTTATTGCTATTGTAGAGTAATTTATGTGAGCGAGAAATGTTGTTGGCGAAATACCACAATCGATAGATTCCTACAAAAAAAAAGCATTAAAAAGTGCCTACATGTCTTGACCTCTCACATAACTGTATAGTTCAGTCGCCAGTCAGCTCAGTCGCCGAACGCTTAGCTGAATTTATCAAGCAAAAGTCACACTATATAAAGTTTAGTTTTTACGAAAATCGGTAGCAAAGGCGCCGGCGTCTTCTTAATCTCACCATATACGTGTCAAACTATAAAAAAATGCTTGTCTTACAAACCAGACCTACTCAACCGTACATATGCTAATGCTGAATGTTTTAGCTACCCACTTCATGAGATACACAGTCGCCACATCTTAGCTTGAAGCAGTACTTGCAATAGAACAGGGTAGTGAGCGATTTTCGAGCACCACATGTACAAATGTATTGCACATTTTGAGGAAAGAAAATCTCCATTGTTATCACCGAAAGGTACTTATCACTACGCGTTAGGAAAACGTATAATAGCCTCAAATAAACTTAGACAGGAATCCAAAATGACAGCCCCTTCCATGTATACAGCTGCTGCGGGCTACATTATGGAACTTTATACGACCTACCAAAGAGGCCGGAGGTATACTTCAACGTGTGTATAAACAAAAACAGAGGAAGACAACGATCTAAAAAGGAGCAGCAATTTCATATATCCTCATGTGGACAAATACTATGTATATTATGCTTTTGTCACATGACGAGCAGAATACTGTTTGAGCTCGCCTAAAATTTGTGTCCGCCTAATACTTATTAGGCCGTAGAGCAGACGATTCTGATGAGCAATCGGTATTTGGTGAACTGTCTTAGGACATGTAAACGTGACTAAAAAGCGAGAGGGAGACGAGGCTAAGCCTCATTTGAATTGCCTGTGTGGCGGGCATGTTTTCATAATAACATAACTGGAAGTATCAAAATGAAATAGTTATTTGTCTCTTGATGTAGTTAAGCTTCGATGGATTTCAGATGATGATTTCCTTACTTCCAAAATCTTGTCAATATGATGTATGACATCAATCGGGCTGCTTATTGATGAGGATTCTGCTCGATTTAATTTGTAAACGACCAACATCATGACAGTAACGATAAATTTTAAAAGCCGGTTTATTTTTGCGTTTTGATCTGCGCTGCTTTGGTGGTTCTATTCAAGAGAGAGATCAACAATAATTTTTCAATAGCGAATATTATAATCATTTTAATAATCTTAGTATTATTCTAAGTGTACATAAGTTTCAGGAAAAGTGCATAAAGACATCCGTTGCTTATCCTATTCTAAGATGAAACCTAAATAGGTACTTTTATATGAAACAAATAAATGAGGATTTATTTTTTCAATAAATTCCATACATATAACGAGGTGAGTATTGAGCTCTCGGCGGCATAAATCCTAAATCAGAATTTTTCACTAAAATTTCTCTGTGAATCTAGTTTTCAAAAAGTACTACAACTTCTTAGGAAACAAACCGAAGTGCTAGCTGATGTTTTCGACCATAGCTCTATGTTCAGTTCTCATTCTCAAAATGCTTGTTTATACTATGATAGAATTTTATCACTGAAAGTATTTATTATTTCTTTATTCAGTAACATGAAATCTATGATTTTGAACTTCGACAAGGGAACATGCATCTTTTGTTTTATTTTTAAGCGAAAGATAAACAGTTTTCAAGGGCTGTTCAAAGGTCATATTGGCGTGCCATAGGCAGCAAATCCTAAATCCCTTAATATAACCTATTTACTTTTGAAATGTAACTATATTTATTTGCAACATGGTCCTGTTGTGGAGCAACAGAAACTAATTTAATGCCCGCAGGAGGACTATAACTAACGGATGGAGATTAAAGATGTTTAAAAGAGCTTTGAATTATTCTAGAATTTCGACCATCCTCCATTTAAATATACCTTTTTTCCTCGGAAGAACAGAGGCTGTATCGCATTTTAGGAAGTACGGGCTTTACTATTTGCCAAAGTGCCAGCTTTCGATGAAACACCTCTGCATACTGTGCTTGTTGAGGCTCACGAATGCTTTTGGGAGGCCTTTTTTTAGGGACAAATGTCAACTTTTGTGGATATATCATTTGGTAAACATCCCTTAAAGTCTTCCAATAGTTCAAATATATTATGAGTTAGCAGACAGAATAAATTACTAAGGATATTAAGTCTTTTCCGGAAGCCTTGAATTTTGCGATTTCATTAAGTGATTTTTTTCGATAGGCAAAGGCTTGGCCAATGCAAGAACTTATTGCTTGTTTCGCCATTGGCCAAGCCTTTGCCATACAGTCACCTATTGTCGAAAAATTCGTTTACCGAGTTTCATTGCCAACAACATAATGCCAGTGTTTGAGATACTCAATATGAAACATGGCATTGAGTTCTGAGGGTCTGTTTTATGACGTTAAGTTCAAGGGTAATCTTCCATTCTGCCCTATATTATTAACTGCGCATGTCTGTTGTTTCATGTGTGCCTTGTTCAGGTTAAACATATTGCATTGACGCAGCATTGCAGAACCTTAAATTGTATCAATATATAGAGAAGTACTTTAGCTGTGAATAAAACGGCGAAATAGAGTCTCTGAGGATTATCAGTAACTAATTTGGATGTGCCGGAAGGTGATGGCATTTAGAAATTGGATGCATTTAGTGTTCGTCTTGTTACAGAGTTGCTATATTATAACAGTGGCTCTGGGATAAATTGCTCTGCTTGGGATTTTTCTTGGAGAAACTTTCTTGCATATGAACTATTAGTTGTTAGCTGCGAAGGACATTTTTGCTGTTAGGCGTAGTGTTGCAAGCTATGTTTTTGGTCACGTTGTGTGAAAGAAACGGTCGATATTCAAATATCCCTGGACGGTTAAGTTTACAGTGACGTATTTGAACGCGTACGCCTGCCTACGCAGCAAACTGTTACAATTTATTACTGCACCTGTAGAAATCTAACCACCCAACATAAGTCTCGAATACATCCTTTATTAGGCGTATGTGATTTTGATGGCTACGCCTTAATTGTGCTTTATGCGAGTACCACATTTTGTCAATCCTGGGTTTTCGTCCGTAAAAACTTGCAATGTCAGTGGAGCTCTCCAATGCAGTACCATCAGTTTACCTAGCTGAGAAGCTACTCAGGGACCCTGTCCCAACTGTACTCGTTTGGGGTCGTAGCGATGGCATAAAATCGGATTTAGTAAGTCACGTTCTCAAGTATAACTATGTCCAAGTACTCGAGTCAGCTGTATGCCATCATAGGTATGCTGTTGGTCCATCAAAACTGCGCGCGTAGTTTCAAAATGTTTCTTCATCTTAGGATGAGCCCAGCGATCCAGCTACAATGGGTGACACGCGAAAGACTCGTAATCTTGGTGGTCTTATTCTATACTTTATATATCTACTATATATTTTTGGGCGAACGGTGGAGACTAATATACTAAACAATCCCTGTATATACTTAAACTATATATAGAACATGTGATGATACTCCTGTTGCTCAGGGGTACAGTTGCAGGCTCAGCTCGGATTAGGAGCACATTGGGAAGTGGTAGAATCTCGTCAGAGTGAACTTGCGAGCCTCACGGCCTATCCTTCTTGTCGACAGTCATAAACTGTCAACTAAATCATTGTAATTCGTCACACTTATGTTAGGAAAGGACAGGTCTGGGTCACAACTGCCCATGCAGACGCATTCAGTAATGTGTAAAGCGATTTATCACTACCAGTAATACTTGGACGAATGAGAGACTTCGAACAACGTTGACGACAAACACCTGTGACTAGTCTTCTAATCATCCTGCAATACTTTGATTACTGTTGTTGTTTTAGGTAGTCTTTGCAGTCAAGCAATCATAATCCGATACTTGCTTAAAAAACACGTTTGTCAATAGCCAGCAGACTTCCACTGTTGTTCATCTGGGCGAAATATTTTCATGCGGATTTCACAGCAAGCTGAAAGGCGTGCTCTACGTTATCGCCTCGGAACGAGTTTCAGATATGAATGTTGCCACCTTTGCGCAGAGGTGGCCGATGCGATTTTTACTGTGTACTACGGTGGTCAACTTATGTCATCGAAATATATATAACTAGACTAGGTCCAAACGCCTATAACGAAAGATGAAGCAACGCCGAAGTATGCTAATTATTGATATGAGCTAACAAAGTATGGTCCACTTTTTTTCACTGCATATGGTATCACCAAATTGGAGTGAGATATGCCTTTACTGAATCTCCGGTAGATTCAAAAGATATCTTACAGCACTTTTCGTTGAGCTGGTATTCATTGTGCTTAAGTAATCGCTCTACCCAATTCTACCTCATGAAGTAACGGGAAGTTAGGGAGATACGCGAATTGTGGCACGTGATGAGCGTCTGCCCTATGCGAACTAAACATGAGCTAACGTACAAGGTAAATAAGGCTGTGCGTGAAAATGCTTCCAAATCTCATGTCTGCTTTATTTGTATTATAAACCAAGTGGGGGAATAGGAAAACATATGCTGCAGAATGCCGAATGAGCAGAAAGAGAACAGGTGGGCACAAACATATGTAACGCATACATTGCTATATTTGTACGTATATGTTGTAGTATACAAGTAGTTCTTATAGCGAATCGATCAGCGTCAACAATTTGATAATTGTTATTTTACTGGTCATTGAAGGAGATGGAAACGGGCTGTCGGAAACAAAGGCTCAGGATAGGATGTGATTTGGCCTTTCAGTGGGCCACCCATGCATTACAGCCAAATTAGTAAACTGAATGGGTCACGCAGGGCTGGAATGGGAACAATATCGACATACTTGAATTGACACTCACGTGCATGTTTGTGTATCAAAAAAATGCTAGAGATTGGATAACATTAGTATATTAATGTATATAGAGATCAGAGCTGTCGTTTATGACAGTCATGCAACGATTGCCTGACAGAATTGTAGGATGGTGCAGTGTACAATGTATCAGGTGGATGAACTGTCGAAAAACGCAACAAAGAAGTAGTTCGTGGGATATTTCAAACCGTAACGCATCGTTTAACTGCATGTGGAAAGAAAAAAGGGTTGAACATTTGAAATAGGGCATTCATTTGTCAGTACTAAAATTTCTATAAGGTCGGCCAATAGCCAACAGAACAATACTTGCCCCCATCGAATTGCTATCATATCTAAACGTATCGATCGAAAATCTTGATTGAATTAACTTATATGCGCATAAACGTGTTCATAGCCTTGGAGAAAACAGAATCGCTTGGGTATCGGGCCTATTATTGACTAGCTAAAGGTTAAGAACCGTAAGATGGATTTTCTGGGTCGAGTGTTAGAATTGTGCTGGCTGTATTTTCGTTCAGTATTTCTACATCAATATCGTTTTATATTTATTAGATATACATTAGGAAATAAGTGGCTGGAAAAAAATACAACAACAAATAATTATTGCAAAATGTATGGACGACGACTTTAGTTAGGCCAAGCGCTGAGAGCGATGCACGAAACAGTTAAGGCAGGTAACTATGAGCGCCATTGGTGGCGGGACACCTAAGTTTGCGTTGGAAAGTAAGAATAAGCTGTAGATTGACAAATGTAGACTCAAAGACATATATAAAGGGGCCGTGTATTTTGTTCCACAAAAGTGAACGCCCGTAATGTATAAGAAGCAGCGAAAAAGTAAGCTGCAATGCGTGAGTTCAGAGTGCGGGAATCAATCGTGGGCCCAGCGAAGTCTAACAAAATGGCTAATATTAATTTGAAACAGGACGCG